CACCCTCCCGGGGAATGTACAGAGGACATGGGGAGCACAGGGGACTAACATCAAAGGGCAGAGGGTGGCTGCTGCCCACCAGGCCCTGAAAGCCTTGGGGGGTGGGACGGGGTAGCCTGGTGCAATGCGCTCCAAAATTTGGCAAGGTGCCAAATCCCTCATTTGCAGGCAGCACAGGATGGAGCCAGGGAGAGGCGAGGTGACGGGGGAGGGGTGCTGCAACTTGTAAGTGCACGTTTCCGGGTCCCACTCCTGGAGTCTGAATTCAGTAGGTTGGAAGTGGGGCTTGGAATCCTGCACTTCCAAGGCTTGACTGAGGCTCACGCTTTCAGAAACAGTGCTTAAGGTTCCGGAGTTCTGGAGAGAGATCTTGAGTCCCGTCCCAGCTCTGCTGCTTCCCAGCTGTGTGACCTTGAGCAAGTCACATGCCCTTCGAGAGCCTCATTTTCATCATCGGTAAGATGGGGTAAGATGGGGATCATTGCACATAATTTTAGCACACTGCCTGGCACATGGTAAACATTTATTATATAATACTGGCCCCATCCAAACTCTGCAGTAATTGCAGGAATTGCTTCAGCTAAAGGTTAGCTCCGTAACTGAAAGAGAAAATAAAACAATACAAACAGTTCTGGATCCCTGGGGAACTGCCCTGGACTGAGCAGGAAAAACAAGGCTACCCCCCTCCCCCACTGCCTTGTCCTGAACCTGCACAGGAGGAGGTTTCGATCTTACCTAAGAATGGGATGAAAAGACAGGAATCATTTCATTTCAAAGCCTCTGTTGGGGTTTCCTGCTGCTGCTGGGTGGTGTGTGGGGGAGGGCCTGGGGGCTGGGATGAGGTCAGCAGCGAGCTCTTTCCTGGGGGTGGGAATGGGAAAATGGGAGACAAAATTGGATTTGGGGGGAAGCAGGGAGAGCTCACTGCAAAAGGGAGAACCGGAATTTGCAGCTTTGTGCAGAGATATTAAACGCAGGTTCCTGCAGGAACTGCAAACCCGAATCTCTGTGAGGTTTCGCAGGGTACCAGAGAAATCATGTGAGCATCATGGTCTGTCTTTCCTTGACTCACTTTTGGTGGAGACTTGGGCTCGGAGAAAAATATCCTTAACTATAAGAGAACAAGAGAAGGGCAATGATGAATAGCAACTGACAAGGGCACAGGGTTGGGGAGCTCCCAGAGGTGGAGGGGGTGGCAGGAGACTGGGGGGCTCACCAGGGCCCGCCCCATCTCAAGGGTCAGCTGCTGCTCAGGCCCTGCCCACTGTCACCCTGGGGGAGCATGTGCCGGTGAGACCAGATCTTCTGATTCACCTGAGGGAACACAGGAAAGTGAGTTCATTTGTGCAAATTCCTGATTTTTAAATGTTGCCTCTAATTTTTAAAAATACCATACAGACATTGAATCTAAGATGCTATTAATAGTAAGATGTTCTGATATTTAATAAACTGCTAATAATAACCCTGCCAATTACACTGTGACAAGCCATGGATTGCAAAATGAATCCCAATTCCAAACATGTCACTGTGTGGAAAGGGAGCATCTTAAAATCCATAAAATATCGTATATCAGTAGCCTGGCCTTGGCCTGGGGCATTCTTGTGCAGTTTGCAACCTGCACAATTGTCCATAGCAGCTCTTATGATGCCATCCCAGGACACTGGAGGGCTTAGGGGCCACCAGGAGGCTCACATTCGAGCCATACCAATGAACTCTGAAGTCCCTTGAGAAGAAGTAATCCCTCTTTGATCTTTGTCTGAACCAGGAATGAGTCAAGGTGTAACAGCATTGTGGCCCCTCCTCCCATGGATATGGAAGCCTAAAATTGAGAGTGGGGGATAGGTTACAGAGGGAATGGCCTGGAAACAAAAATATTTTCTGTCTCTTTAAAACTTCCCCTACTCTTTTTGGGAAC